CCCCAAAACACGATGGCTGCGATGTCAAACACCTGCGCCGCCAGGAACTCCGTCTTGTATGCTGCCAGGAAGTGCTGTTTGCCCTAGGACCTCTGTCCCGTCCCAACCGTGTCACACATCCCCGTGGATCCCACAAATGGGCCTCCCACTTGTTGGCGTTACGGCGCATTAGAGGGGACAGGTAGCGGCAAGCAGGGTAAGGGGCCAGGAGGGGACTGGGCGGTGGCCGCTACCCCTCCCCGCACATGCACCGTAACGCCAACAAAAGTGGGAGGTCCATTTGTGGGATCCGACGGGGATCTGCAGGAGACGTGAGCCGGGACAGAGGTCCAAGAGCAAACAGCACTTCTTGGCAGCATAGAAGGCGGGGCTACTGGCGGCACAGGTGTTGGGCATCGCAGCAATCGTGTTCTGGGGTCTCGATACCCTTACCCATGTGGGTCACCAAGATTACCGTATGCATGTGTACGGTATGTCTAAGGTGTACAGGATCCCTACATAGCTTCATGTCTGTGCTTAGCATAGTATATGCTGATAATGAACGGCCAGTGAGAGGGCAACCGCCCAAGGGTGTATCCTATGGATTTGTCCCCAGCCCGCCAACCCTTTCCTCTTTTCATGAGGCCCCGCCGTGGGTTTATGCTACACTAATACCGAATGAGGCATGGGTCCCGTTCCCAGCTTACGGTTGCAGCTCTTACCCAATTCGTCTTGCTTCATCCCGGCCTGGTCCCAACTCACGACGAGAAGGCGACACGGTTGATTGTCGACGCAGCCGGCAGCTGCAGCAGCGGTGGCGGTGGTGTTGCAGGCGCAAAGGTGATAACAGGATTTACAGGACGCAAAACCTGCGCCTGGAGCCATACCATATAGTACATGGATCTCAATACCTGTTCTCAAACGCCGGACATATAATTAAAGGGTTTTGGGTTTTGGGTTCTGGCCATACAATTTAAGGCGCCTTCTGATGTAGGGGCAAGAAGAAGCCAGTGATGGCGGTCCAGACCAAGCCCCCC